AGTCAGTCAGACACCCAGGTACTGCAGTGAAATTTGGATTAGGGTCTTATTTTCAGTACTTAAGTCCTCTTGCTTTATGTGGCATGACACTACGCTAAAGGTGTTTTGGATATTTTTCCCTTTTTCTGTTTGTTGTTTCCCCGCACCCCAGACCCACAGAATGGAACATGACTAGACTGTATACTCACACATTGCCGTTTTCCCCAGATGTTATTGTAACTTCTTCAGCTCCCATGCAACCTCTGTGTACATGACCAGGATGCTTTTTCCAGAGAAACTCAACTTTTGAAATGTTCCCAGAAATTTCTGTATCAATATAGTTCAAGTATGTGTGGCCTGGTTTGAAAGATCCTCTGCCAAAAGAAAAGCACATAAGTGATGCTCTGTGTTCTTTACAAATGAGAAAAAAAGAGAAAAGCTACAGTTTAATCAGAAAGGGAGATGAGTTGTGGGATGAGTTGAAGCTTTCAATACTATCATTATAATCTTATTACATTTATTACATTATTACATTTATTATGGTGTTATTATTACATTATTATTTTCAATAATTACCAATTAGGGATGTTAGGCAAAATTTTAGCTTAGAACATGTTCTTGGAGAATATGTTCCTTGGGGGTCTTGGCGCAGATCATGCAGATCTGAGGCTTTCAGCTCAGGCAGCAGGGGATCGTGTCTCAGGTGCAGAAACACCAGATTCTGTCCTCTCTGCTGACTAGTCATTCGAGCTATGTAGCAAAGTCTTTTGTGAAGTCCTTGGACCTTAGAGGTTTTGTACATAAAATATGTCAAATACTTCTTTGGACAAACACTGTAACAGAGTTAAATTTAGGGAAGATTAAAAAGAAACCACACACACACAAATGCATATAATGCACTTTTCATTTAACCTTTTTTGTAAGGGGATTAGGAAGGAATATCTCATTGACAGTTGGGTTGATTTTTTCCTCCAAATGAGTATTGCAATTTTTTGCCTTAGCTGAAGCTATTGTGGTTGTGCTGAGGCTACCTCATCTCTCCCAATGTGATTGATCCTGAATAAATCTGGAGGAAGTTCTGAAGACTAAATGTCACTTTTTTTTTTCCTCTGGCTGAAGTCTGTGCTGCAGATACCAGCTGGTCAAATCAGTGAAGCAAAAAAAAAAAAATGCAAAGCAAGAGAGGCCGACCAGCAAGCAGATTTTGACCACAACCTGTAACATGGGGAACTTCAACCACTTATCAGCTACTTTTATTATCAATGTAAATCACGAAACGCATAGAACAAGATGAGACGTGTAAAAATAGCTATGTATAAATTCAATATCCTAACAATGGTAAAGACATTTTTTCAATAGTCATGTTAAACTTACTTGTCAATTGTATATTTTTTCCTGATCCCATTAGTTCCAGTCAAGGCTACATCTATATTTCCCATTATGGTTTCTGTTGCAGATACTCTGATATTTATCTCTTTTCGCCAGCCTTTGAAAGCAAAATTAAATAGATTATGGTTGTAAGATTTCTTTCCTAATGGTAAAACTTCTCATATGTTTCAATGTCTTTCAGGGAGAGGAAAGGATTGCACAAATGTGCTTGTAAGTGGACAAATTGTCACTCTTTATTAAGGTAAATGTTAGTTCTGCATGATTCTGGTAGTATTAATTTCCTTGACAGGAGTCTAAATCGCAGATCCATGCTGACCTACTGGCTATGCTGAGTACTTAATCTGCCATGGCCAATACTGTACCTTGCTCTTCCACTTGGCCTCACTTTTAATTTTGTAATTCCTTACACCTATGAGCAATTTGGGGGTTCTCATGGATGGCATGTTAGCTCTCAACTATGAATTGAGGTCCACTGGACTGCAGTGTTGTTAAAGATATATTAAACAAAACTGGCTGCTTTCCCAGGATCATCCTGATACACGGAGTGTTTAGGGGTTTTCTTATACCTGTTCACAACCCAACAGCTGGCAGGAGAGCCTGTCATCCCGCATCTATTTCTAAGGTAGAAGCAGGGTCTCAGAGGCAATAGCACATACTGATTTCAAGCAACCAAGTTTGGGAAGTTTTTGTACCAGCTTTAGTTCCCGGTTCTGTGGCAGCTTCTACAATAATTACAATTAAAACTATACTTCTTATTACTCCCTGACATTTTAACTTGACAAGCTTTGCAAAAGTATTCTGAAATGATCCAGTTTTAAAAATTTTTGTCAATAAAAACAATGTAAATTTTTTTTGATTTGAAATTTTGCACTTACAGCATAACATCCCACCCACCTTCAGCTTTAGAGAATTTTTGAAGCCATCATTTAATTAACAAAATTTTAGCAGGTTTTATAACTCAGAGGTCAGCATCAGTTGATCTGTTTCTATAATTACTTCGGCCTTTCCCAGATAATGCTGGTACGGCGTGTTCCTAACACACCTGAAACTCTACATTTTGTACTGACTGCCACTTGTTAACTCCAGCAGCTCTCTGTAGAAGTGTAAGGCATTCACACATAATTCATTGTCACTTTGGAATTCACTACCCAAAATGAGTACTTACGAGCATATGGAGGGGAGGGGCCTGTGTTTAAATAAACTTTTTGTTGTTCGTTTTCAGTTTTATGTAAAAACATATCAGCATAATGACCCATCAGTGGGCATCCTTCCTTTGGACATGGGAAGCAGTCTCCCTAGGGGAAAATAACAATGTATATTACAAGACATTATCTGTTTTAATCCCACTTCTTAAAAGTTAAAGAAATTAAAGATTTTCAGCTTTTTCCAAACTTTTTGAAAATGCTCTTGCTTCTGAGTTCAAATCACATCTTCAGTATTTATTGATGTGGTGAAAAGAGGAGCTGAGATGGTCAGTCAGTTTATTTCATCTGGTTGAAAATCAGAGAGAAACAGGTTGAAAATCTGGCCTAATTCCTTACATTCTTGCAGAGACCATAAGTAAATACCTTAAATGCATGTTGTGCCTTACTGCCTAATCTGTAAAATACAGGAAATGTATTCATCTTTTATGGGGTCCATTTGAAAGGTTGTCTGATCATTACTATAGGATGGGTAACCATATTTGCAGGGAGGTCTGGCTGGATATCTCACTCATATGGTAAAGATGTTTAAGTTTAGGAGTACTGAAACTTGAGGGTCTCACTTTGGAATGTATTCAGTCAGCTCTTCAGCCTTTCTTCCCATGCAGAACCTTAATGAAATTAATCTACCTACATAAATCAAACTTTCAGATCAAGACCTTGACATCCATCTAAAACAAACCCCACAACATAAGTGTGTATATTTTCAGTGAAAGTGATTTAATTGCAGCTGGAAAATATAGCATTGTTATTCAGATAGTTGAATTTTGGTATTTGGGGGTTTCTCTAGGAACTGTTATTTGTGGATCTTTGACTATTTGGGCATTAGATGAATAAAAGGCTAAATGATCAGCATCACTTGCTTATTACAAGATTGAAATAAATATTTCCCTCACATCACTAAATTGCACAGGCTTGAGGTTTTCAAGTCTTGAATTACATCAGACTTTCAAGTTACGTGGCAATGTTGCTAAAAACTTTAACAACTTTTTCCACACTATTGTAATCATTCCTTTTGGGAGTAGATGGAAACAAATTCAGACTTGTCTTACTCCTTGACCAGTCCTCAGTTATGCTGCCAGAAATTCTCCACTAAAAGCCCAGTTATATTAGGCATGAGACACCAGGACATTATGCTGCTTGCTTTCTTGTGCCACCTGAGTGTTGTGTGAGCAATCCTGTGCTGTGTAAATATCTCCCCTGCCCTATATACTGTGGATGTTTATTGTTTAAGACAGATGGTTAAACATTTCTGAAATTCAGAGACTGTCCTCTTGATGACGGGTTTCACCAGGTTTAGATGGACTTCCTTCAGCCAGAGTGTCCCTTACAGCTGACCTACGCGAAAGGTGAACCTAGCCACAGCCTCTCACTGCCCTCTTACTCAGCTCTTCATCTCTTCCTCTCTGTTTTTGTTGTTGATATTTATGCCTTATTTTCTTCTAGATTTTTTTTTTTTTTTGAGTTTGCTGCTTTTACATTTTGCTTGGGTTTTGGGTGTGGTCTGAATGAGGGTTGTCAGTGGGTCTGTGCAGCCTCCCCTGTATCCCATGATCCAGAGTGTAGAAGTTGTCCCAGAAAAGGGGAAGGGCAGGGCTATAACTGCTCACATAAATATGTACCTGATGCTTACCAATATGAAAGCTCGGTATGTTTCACACTGATACCCAACAAATCCGTTTGGAGTGATAATACTCTCAGCGTAATACCGGAGACTTCTTTTATGTCCACATCCAATAGATCTGTATTCTGGGAAAATGCCCAGGTAAAAAAAGATAAAAGCTATACGTTAACATAAAGTCTATGCCAAAGCAACACTTGTGGGTCTTTTTTCCTCAAAGCATTTGTACATATAGTGATGTCTCAGATTAAAAGAATAGTAACAATTGAAAGACATTTAAAGTGTGAATTATTTGGTTTTATAGTAAAAAGTTTTTTTTTTTTTTTTTTTTTTTTTTTTTTAAATGGGGAAGAACTAGGTTCCAATCTGCGTGTCCCTGTGCTTGTGCTGGAGTTAACAGAGGTGGAGATGCACCAAGGCAGACCTCGTGCAGCCTCCCATCCTGCTATGTGCATTTAACTGATTTTACTTTAGCCTGAGAATCCAGGAAGACAGGAAAATTTCCCCTTGATATTTCAAAGACTGGAATAATTCATAGCTACAGTGTTTATAGAGTATATAGTAGTTATTATGAATTAATTTTCATTTGCTTACCATTATCATAACATGGTATTTAGTAAAACCACAGTTTCCACTCATTTCTAGATTTTAAAGGTAATTGTAATAATTATTTTAACTTCAGTGGCTTTCCATGTTTTTAAGCCCTAGAAAATCTGTGGTAACTTGACAATGGTGATTCTATGAAATGCTCTTAAAAGGAAGATATTCAGCAGTGTGTCCTTGATTTTGCCAGAACTATTTGAAACAAGTAGTCTCTTTAACGAAGTAACAAGCGACAGAACAAGAGGGAATGGCCTCAAGTTGTGCCAGGGAAAGTTTAGTCTAGATATGAGGAAGTATTTCTTTACAGAACAGGTTGTTAGATGTTGGAATGGGCTGCCTAGGGAAGTGGTGGAGTCCCCATCCCTGCAGGGGTTTAAGAGTCGGGTTGACTTAGCGCTGAGGGATCTGGTGTAGTTGGGAACTGTCAGTGTTAGGTCAATGGTTGGACTGGATGATCTTCAAGGTCCTTTCCAACCTAGATGATTCTGTGATTCTGTGTAATACATTTTCCCACCAGAGAGAAATTTAGAAGTCAGTGCAGGAAAGAAGAAAGTGCTATTTGAGTTATATTTACAGGTCCCTTGTAATAGCTATTCTCTTCATTGGCTCTTCCCTTTATCAAAGCACAATATACTAACATTAGGTTGTATAAAAATAGGCTCTACACTGATGCAGTGTGTGTGTGGGGGGGGTGTCACCCAATCACAGGGTGAAGTCTTGGAGACACTGAAATAATTGCAAGCTGGCACAGTTTACAGAGAAATCAGAATTTCACCCACTGTCAATATTTATGCATCTTAAATACAGACCTGTTGGTATTGGCCAGTTGACACACATTGTTCTTTACATAAGGAAAGAAAAAAAAGACCAAAACATCTCTGAAAAGTATTTTTGTCTGTTTTTCCTGAAAACAATCTGCATCATCAACTCTTCCTGAGTATGTTTTCTTTATAGTTCTTTTCTTAAATTTAATTCAGAAGGGTCTGTGCTTTTAACTTTAAAACCCTCAGCTCTTACGTTTGGCTTACTTTGTGCTAGTGCCAAATTCACTTAACATCTATACAATGGGAAAATAATACTCCTCTCCCTACTGCATCAAAAGCTGTAGAAAGAGTTACTAAATAACATTTGTAAAGCACTTCATACATAAAAGCACTACATAAATGTAAATATTATCAAACAGAAGAGATATGCACAAAGTAAGGTTTAACCACAAGGCAGGAGTTAAGGCTGTCTCTATTTTTAGAAAACATCTGCTCATGTTCAATAGAGCTGAGCTTATCCTTCACCACAAAACATTGCAAACAGCCTTGTGAAATATCTGTGGATTTTTTTATTTTTTTTTTCCCCCTGAAAATGCAGACATTCTTATGCAGTTCGATTAGAAAGTGTTTTGGTTCCAAGTGACTTTGTGCACAGCCATCTTTCAGTCCTTTCTGTTACTAAGTTCTCCAAACCAGTTCTAAGACAGAGCATTTTTGAAAGCCAATTACTTAACTAGTGGTAGGGATTTCAAAACATTTAGCTGTGAATAACACATGTTCTAATTTCTGTAGGTTAGGATCAGAAGACAGGATTTTGGGGACCTATTGTACTGGATCCCAGGGTGATTCTGATTAACTGCCCAGCTTTCTTTGAAGAACATGAATTATCAATGGAGCAGTCATTTTATCATCTTCTATATTTTTAACCTTGTGCTGTTCCCCTTGAAGGGACTAAAGCTGTTAATGGCGTGGCTGAGTATGTCTAACCCCAGTAATATTGGGACTGATGTCTTTCTAGGGAGAAGGGAAGCTCAGATTCTTAAATATTCATTTTTGGATTATCCTTCAATGAAATTTTACCAGTCCTTCATGTGTGGAATTCCCACTGTTGTCAGTCTGTCAGCACAGTGGCAGGATCTTATAAAGGTTGTGATGAACAAGTCTGTGTGCTTTAACTGAAGTTTCCACCTGGAATTTCATTAGTATAAAAGAAAATTGGAAGGTATTTCACAGGCAGCTTTAAATCTTCTGGTTTTGAGCATTTTCTCCCTTTTCCAAATCTGAGCTATATAAATAATATATGCATGCAAAAGGCTTTACCTTAGCCTAGTCTTTATTTTTAACTGTAGCTTATAATGAGATACTACTTTTTGAAAATACACGTACCTCTCATAAGGTCATTGATATTCCGAGTTGCAGGAGGTAGACGAAGCTGCTTGCATCCTGGCATCTTCTTCCCACCATTTGGGTAAAAATCCAGGTGGCCACAAGTCTGAAGAATCCCTGGAGCTGAAATGCACAACGAATCAAGGCTGATCACTCTCAGGTACACTGTGGCCAACCTTTGTGTTGGTGTCATCCTTTGTGTGAAAACTTACCAAAGTCAAAGAAAAGATGACCAGCGTGGGTATGTATTATATCAACAAATTTTGCATCTGAAGGATCCAGCCTAACCGTTGTGGGAGTATATTGGAAAAGGGGCCCAGCTGGATCCAAACCTAAATAAATGGAGATATGTCTGATTGAGTAATTAATACTAATGTATGTCAGCACATACAATGTGTGTACACTGCATGTCATTACAGTTCTGCCTTCACTCCATATGTAAAAATCCATTTGTGGTCCACAGCCAGCAAAACAAGCAGGTTTTAGTAGAAAGGTGACTGGAGGCATTGCAGTACAGTAAAATGCTGATGGGTGCTTGGCTTACTTTTGGGGAACAATGTTATAGGAAGAGGTTTGTTGTTTGGTTTTTTTTTCATTTTAGTAAAAAATATGAAATCTTGATGTGTTACCCTAAAAATGTAGATTTGTTTGAGAATTTTTATTTGATCAGAAATCTGGTTTTATTTCCAAAAGATCTTGGTTGAAAATGTTACCCCTTCACTTCAGTGTCAGTGAGCTCTCTTTGAGGTTAAAGCTGATCCCAGTTTCCCTGACTTGTTAATGTGACAGCTCACTGCGTACACAGCTTAGACAAAGCAATGTCTATGCGGAGAAGAGAACTGGCTGGAGGAAAAAGGAAAGCAGAAAACAGAGAGCCTTTAAAAAAAGCAATGTGTGAGTGTGGCATGACGCTCCATCTCTTCATAGCTATGCGACTAACAGCTTTCTTCCTTTTCTGGGTGTCCATGGCTATTTACTGTCTCATCATGACATGCTAGATCTAGGGGTTTTAATTTTTCATTTCAGATTTTTAATCTTTTGAACTGCTGAAAAGTCATGTTAGAGTGGGCTTTTAAAACCAGATATGATAATGAGTTGCTAGTGTTTTACAAGTCTATTATTCCACACGTAATACAGTATTTTGATCCTGATCTTTTATATAATTAAAAACCATAACCAAGTGCTCCCTGGGACTCATGACCTGTGAAAAGCAATCTCTATTTAGCCACAGTTGGGACAGTTAAGCCCTTCTGATCTGTTGCAGTTGGGCCTTTCTCAGAGCTGTGAACGTGGCCATGTGGAATGCATGGCATGGGATAGGACATGGCTTTGTTCATACGCTCTCATGCTAGCTGTATACTGTTAATTATGAGAAACCAGCACATTGCAGTCTATATTGTGTGTTTATATGGCAGCAGTGGTTCTTCAGTTCTCTTAAGATGAATGAAAATATAAAGCTTCATCAGTTGAAATAGCTTTAGTACCTGTTATTCTTCCAATGCCAGGTTTCCTTCTCCCTGCCTCCCCTGCGGCATGTGCTCCAAGACTATGGCCGATGAAATGAACATTGGCAGGAGAGTAGCCATAGTCTTTCTGTGAAGATATATGGAAAGGAAAAAACAAGCATGTTAAGCAGGGGATACAGGCATGTGGCACTTCATCATGGCCCCTCCACTGTGCTGGGACACGGCCAGGCCAGCAGGCGATGCAGGGGAGTGTCTTGGGTGGGAAGTTACTGTTGTGGGTGCGGGGATCTGTACCTAAAGATCAGTTCCCAGATCATCTCATCCTCTCTTATATCACGCCTCTGGAAGGGAGTAAACTCTGTCAGGAATTGGTCCTTGTGATAGAAAAGAATGAAAAGGGAATTCCTGCACATAGCTCCCCTACATTTGCACTGGTTGCTTGTCCAAAAGGCAAATGACCCCACTGCCTCACCCCTGAACCAGTCTGTCCAGTGAGGATAGTGGTCTGTAGTCTAGTCTGGACTAGATGATCTTCAAGGTCTTTTCCAACCTAGAGGATTCTGTGATTCTGTAGTGGGAGAGTTTTCAGTGCCTTTGGCTGTGGCATATCCTCTGTGTGAATCAAGCGCTATCCTGCTACGGAGATGCTCCACCGTGTGGGTCCTGCAGGACGGGGAGGGCCATGCCAGGAACGCTGCTGGTGTCTCAGGCTCAGCTGAGCTTCTGCATGGGAAGCCTGACACTGGTGGCTGCAGCAGAGTTCCTTCTCTGTGCTGTGATTCAGTTCTTGCAGGAGGCAGAGTGTGTGACCCACAGAGAGATGATTTAACCATATTTGTCCTCTATCACCCCTCTTCACCCTGCCAGTTTTGCTAGACAGCCTCCAGTCTAATGTCTTATACAGTAAAAACCCCATCTTGAGCAAAACTTTCAGAAACTATGGCTTGTAAGCCTTTAGGCACATGCTTTTCTATGGTCTGACACTAAAGAGGGAATTTCCCTTTGTGCAGGATTGGAGAATTTTAATGACATTTCCAGCTGCATTATTGAGTACCTCTGTACTTCCTGACTCTATTGCAACAAAGCTAAAGTTGCCACCGTGAACGTGGCATTTACCACACAGACTATGCACCAGATTTCATGTTCCATGGATACTTTTACCTCGAGAAGGTTCAGCAGATATACCAGCTCAGCCCCCACAATGCGGACGTTGTTAACTGCGTCGGTGTAGAGACCACTAGAGCCACCTCTCCAGTCGGTCAAAATGCAGTTCACGTCTTCAGTGTGAAACATAAACTGGTGGAAAGCATGAAAACAGAAGATCAGAAGCTAACAGGCACGAACTACGATTGTAGCAGGGTATATGCAAACAATATTTAGTTTTGCTATAAGCAGGGACTCTGTTTATGTGACTGGTAAAGACACATCTTCAGTATTATTAATTCCTACAATACTGAGGCATCAACACAAGGAGGCAGAGTGGAGGCAGTGATTTGAACACTGTATAAAGACACAGGGAAGCTTGCTTCAGTTCTGTTTTCCATTCCAGATGCCTCGGTTGGCTTTAAGGTATCAACTTCTCTTAATGACAGTACCTCAGTTAGAAAAAGAGAATAAAATGACTTCTTTTTTATTGTCCAAGCTTTAGTCTTCAAAATGTATATGCTTGGATCATCTAAAAGGATTCCCAAATCTGTGTTCATGTGCTGGAA